AAAGGACTTCGAGTGCATGCACAAGCAAAAAGCTGGCTTGCATAAAGTGCAAAATTTAGACTACGATCTGCTTAAGAACATTAAGAAGAACTACAACAGAAATCATACCCAATGTTGCAACTGTTTCTCTTAGAAACTTCCTGYGTGGTYGTGAATCCGTTGCGTGAATCTGAATTGCCAAAATACAAGGACATCCATCAAAGAAAGCACAGTCCCATCAAGCCCCATGTCATTGAGCGCCTGCGGCGCTCTTAAGACCAACTGACTGTGATAATCAGCTTGCTACCTGGTCGATATTAGTAGGGTCTCTGACCAACACAGGTGTGAGTGCGAGCATGAGTGGGTTGTGCGTGGTGTGTGGTACATTGTTGCCCATAGCCACCACTGCTTCTCTATGGGGGGTGGGGGGAAGTTGATGGGGGGCACAACTACTTGCAAAGTTGATTGGTTGTTGTGTTAGCTGGCCCCCCCCACTGGCGGCCTACTCCCTGACCAATGCCAATTAAGGCGGGGGCCAACACGAACCCCCTTGATTGGGAGAGGTTGCTATGGAAGCCAGGGGTCCCCTGTTTAGGCTTAGGAGAAGTGGTAGGCAGATTGTGAGAGATGACATTGAGAAGAGACTCAAGAGAGAGAATAAGCGGRAAAAAAAAAGAACAAGTAATGGGTGAGGAGGTGGAAGGAAGTCTTTTAATTTTTAAATTAAACACCCTGTGGCTCTGTGCATCTTTTTCCTATGTGCATTTTTGTTTGCCCCTCACGTCCCAGACAGTCACAGGGACAAGGCCTACCATGTGCCGCAAGCCATTTTTGTTGTGTGGCCGAGGGTTTCTGTGACCCTGTGTGTGTGTGTGTGTGCGCGCGCGCACACGCGCGTGTGTGTGTGTTTAAGTCTAGGGTGTTGTAGAGGTCAACTACCAGACCAATGGTGATTGTCGGGAGCCGTTAGCCATATAGTCGCCCTGACAAGGTAAGGGCACCTTCCCATCCCATCCTCTCGTCCATACTCCCTGCGCACACCGTATCCCCACCATTCTACCTCAGTGTAGTGCTGTTGCGTACTCGTGAAACACAGTCATAACTTGAAGTATGGCGCTGATTCCCAGAACCGACCGGATAATACAGAGTTAATACAAATGYAAGCGTAAGACTTGAGATACCTTGGACTGACTCAGACCTGACTCGGACTGCAATCGAATACTCTCAAACATTCATCAGGGGTGTGAAGGCCCTGGCCTCAGACATAGACGAAGGGCCAGGGACTGAGATCATCCACGGAGGAAGGGAGAGAGGAGAGAGACGGAAGGAGGTGGAGAGGGAAGATGATGACGTCAACTCCATGTTTCCAAAGATAGTATCTTAAAATGTCAGAAGTGATGAAAATCCGAAATGTCGCGAATGCCAAGTCTCACAATATCTCAGATATCGATYTCACAATGTCAAGTACATCTTTAAAAGGAAGATGAAATCAGATTCTTAAGTAGTCCTCCCCTCGTAGTCCCAATGTCGCTATTCCCCATGTTATCAAAATTCGTAACCAGCCTTTATACTGCAGTAGTCCCGTAGGAGAACCCAGAAGTAGACTGAGACTTAGAAGGTAGGAGGAGAGAGAGAGAGAGAGAGAGGGAGAGAGAGAGAGAGCGGGACCGAAGGAATAGAGGGAGAGAAGGCAAGCCTTCCTCCCTGGTTCCTGAACTGGTAGCTACGACGCGGCAAGGCCGCTGCGCTTTTGCTCCGTGCTGCGGCGTTAGCTGTCTCCTCGCTGCTCCGACTCGCGTTGCTGGTGCTGCGCTAATGCTGCTACAATGCTGCGCTAATCCTGAAGACTAACGCTAACGCTATTAACCTCTAGCTTCTAACCTACCGCTGAGGCTGGTACCCAGCCTTTTGTAGTGTTGGGCCGGCCTCCTACCTGCTGGTACCTACCGGCCTGGACCGTTGATCTGAATCAACGGTCCAGTTTTGAACTGGACTTGGCGCCTAAATTTGGCAGCCTCTGCAGCGCCGCCGGTAGGTCCTATGCTGGACCGGTACCGGCCTTGTGGCCGTTTGGCCTGACCTGCGCCTCTACCGTAGGCCTGTCTGAACCGCCGTGGTCCAGGCCCATCAGGGCTTCATCCGAACCGTCGTCCCTTAGGCCTACCCTGCCTGTTTGGAACCGGGCCCTAACTGGGGCCCGTGTGGCTCAGAATGCCACACACTCCCCCCCTTGAAGACCGAGCTAACCGCGAGGGCGAAGCTATCTGTCCGATGTCCGTACAGGGCGGGCAACTTGGGCAGCTTCCTTAGGAAGTCACTGTTTTTCATAATGCACGAAGATGAGGGGTGTTGTCGCCCTCAGGTCAGCTCTTGAAATCCTGCATGTGTCGTTCGGATCGCATTGCTTAAATGTAACTTTATACTGCATAGGCTTGTTGCCATGCTTGCGATGCGTGAGAACGCCGTCGACCTCCTGATGACCATCCATTGAAGGAGGGTCCTCTGACCGTCTGCCCGGGCAGYTCGCTGCGGAGGCTGGAGTGTAGACCGMCAACTTTGAAGCGTGAAATATCGGGTGGACCATCAAATGCGGAGGAATCTCAATGATGAAAGATGGACCCGCGGGGTCGTCGCYAGCTGCTGAAGTGACCATCCATGGTCCAAACCACTTAGGGAGGAGYTTGCGCGAGACGTGCTGCTCGAGCGCGAATTCCTCRGAGGTGACCCAAACTAGGTCGCCAACGCGAATTGGACATGGGATGCGACGCCGGTTCGCTTGCTGCTGCACACAGACCTGGGCCTTCTGCATGTTTGCGCGGGCTTTGGCCAGCAATTCCCTGTACTTCCGTGTAGAAGCG